AGAGCCCAAGCTCTGTGAGAAAATTCTCACAGGCGTGAGAAAACGAAGGAAGGCCTCCTTCTTCTCCCTACTGCGCGCTAGCGCCTTAGCTGCAGGTGTTAAAAGTGCTGTTAGTCGATTCCTCGTGGTCGGTTCTCCTAGATAGCGTGCTTTCCTAGCGGTTTCCAGAAAACTCGAAGTTGGTGTATTTGGCACATTACCGCTTACAGTCCCCACAAATCTTTACTTTTGCTCAGCCTTACCGGCACCTTTTACCGAGCGTTTCGATCAAATCAAATCCTACAGGTGTAAGCATGCAAGTAATGTCAGTAGCTACTGAACGCCGTCGCGAGTGTGCGCTCGTGATTGTAAGGATCAACCGCTGGGGATAAGTGGCATTAGTGCTTATCGCCATAATGCTGTCACAATGAATAATCAGTGTGCTCGAGGTACTACTGCATCAGTCGTTAGAAATGATATCAAGGTCATTGATGCGATAATTTTGAATCCAGAAGCGGTGCGTATAAATTTTAATTCCGCTCACTTCTGCTAATATGTAATTCCAAACGCAGAGCCACATGTCATTAGCACGAACACCCATCTACCTGAGCCATCTCCGATCCTCACAACACCACATCCTCCTTCCTTGCTCGTCACGGCAAAACATGGCACTCGACGGGCCCTCGCAATTTGAGAAAGTCAACAAGACGCTCGGTCAAACTCCAGGCATCCATATCTTTCTTCAAAAAGTTTTTAACAAATTTATCCAACTTCCTGCGCTTCTGTCATTTATTGCGAGTGGACAGACTCTTTGGCGCTTTAGCTGTAGTAGCAGCAGCAAGTTCTACACAAAATCGAATTAAGAACCCTCTAGCGATCAGCATCTGGTGCACTTACAGCGAAAAGGGACCACAGCAGGCACCCCGCTTATAACCACAGTGTTTGCACTACTTGCACGATTAAACGAATCCTCAGTCCCACTGAATACTCTGAGGACTTACGCGGTCATTGCAAAGTTCACTATCATGAAAAATACAGGATCCAGCGCCACAGTCTTTTGAGGATTCCGCCAAGAAAGTGCCATCTGCTCCTACAAGCGCGCCAGAGATACCCTCTGGCATGTTTGCTACTGTATTTTCAGAGGTGGATGTCTCGGCTGGAGCGGCCCAGGAACTTGTAGCTGAGAATGCAGCGATCATGAATGCAACAGTGGAGAATTTCATGTTGGAGGTTGAGCGTATTATTAAAAACGAGGCTTGAAGTGTAAATTTGGGAGGGGGGCAGAGAGACTCAAGGACTGGTCAAAGGCGGGTCGACTTATATGTTGGCTTACTAGTTACATAACTACAAATATTGCTTATTTATTGCGTGGAATTTGGATGATACCTCGCATTCAATGCGGAGCTGTGGACCGAATAGTACACAAGTACTGTTATAGAGCGAGGCAGGGCATTGGACCGGGAACGCATAAGACAATATGCTACGGTGGCCGTAGGAATCGGGGACCAGGAGAGATGGGTCTCTTCCAGCACAGCCTATCACAAACGTATTACGTACCATTGCGAAGGCCCATTGCAGGACCTGTCGACTATTAGGGTGTTGTCACACTAAGCTTTGGGAGCATTGGGGTGCAGCAGCTCATATTGGCCCCTACCTATCAACACCACAGCTGCGGCGATCCACGAAATCTTCTCTTGGCAGCTGAACAATTTACTACTGTGTCGTTCCAGTCTGATCTGAGCTCACCATGTAAGCATGCAGGCCATCTTGCTTGGCAGACATGTGAGGGAAAATGGCCTCGCGCTCTTGGATATTCGTCTAGGTTAATCGCATACGTATAGGTGCGACCACAGAAACTCTCAAGAAGATCAGCTGGGCGAAGGGCCATTTGGACAATTAGCTGCAATAGTAGCTGCAGCCGTAGCTATAATAGTACACAGCCACTGCGGTGGTGGTGGGCAGCTTCTTTGGTGCTGATGGGCAGACTCGGCAGTAGTGGTAATAGTCAGCCGCTGCGGTGGCGAGAGGCTGCAGTAGTGGTGATTACGCTTTCTAGTAGATAGAGCTCAGGCAGGTTGCTCAGAGATAATCAGCTGTTAGGTAGAAATTGTATACAAGGTAGCCTTTGTACAGGACATCTACTAATACTTGACAAATAAAAGTATTGTAGGCTGTAACAAAGTACTATGTATAACTGATTGGACGATGGTTACTCTAATTACGAAAGGGATTATACTGCGTTCTATTTCTTTGGGAATTATCAAGCTTTTAACTAGTTGGTAAATAGTTTTAGCAATAACTACTGCCGAGTTCCTACTATTATACATATGTCGTTATTCTTTTACCTCTTGTATTTTTTCAGACGCGACTTTGGACAAGTATTCGGCCAAGTAAGCGCATTGATATCACTTACATGAAATTTCGGACATTTATTTTTCAACAGTCACTTTTTGCCGGCGAGCAAGTGCAGCATATGCATATGCTTGAATAGAAGGCATGAAATGTATGTCACGTGCTGACACATCCGATCATGTTGGAGAGAACAGAGCCTCGGGGATGCAGCTCCGAGCTCCGCGAATCCCCCGCGCCCTCGCACCCCTTGGCATCTGAAGCACGCAATTCGCGCTAGAGCCAAATTCTCGTCGCGTCGAGGCGACATTCCGTGTATTTGCAATCTATCGCCCGAAATCTGTGCTAGAGCGTCTAGCCAGAGCCAATCATGGACGTCGCGAGCGATTGCGTCTTCGTCGGCCGTCAATCTGCCGATGTCGCGGGCACAAGGTGGCACTTTTTGACCCCTACGACACGGCCAGTCCACCCCACCGATAAGTTTCCACAGGTCAAGTCTCGGGAGAGTCCAGTCCAGCTCTCACTCTCTTCTATACACCAAGAAGAGACTCTCGGCACCTCTCCGCAAAGACTGAGACGCCGAGGCGCATACATTGCCCGGCAAGATGCATTTCCAGCAGGCTGACTCGGCCGGCCCTGGCGCTGAGCAGAAGACGCCCAAGGACTTCACCAACAAATCGTCGAGTCTGCCTTTCGGCCAGGACCTCGCCTACCAGTCCATCAGCGGCCCGACCTACCTCACCGCGCAAACGCTCGTCCAGCAGGTCGCATACGCGCTCTCGGATAAGATCTTCGCATACTCGGTCGAGTCGTTTGACCTGGACGTTGCAGTCAAGCACTGGCACGAACAGGGCGAGAAGAATGCCTTTGGATACCAGACTGGAGTCTCCTCTCTGGAGACGCGGACAGGGGCGGGCGCAATTGCGCTGGGCTACTTGTTCTCCAAGGACTTTGACCTGAAGAAGCGCCACATTCCCCAGGCCATCATCGCCTCTTCCTCGACGCTCAACTACCTCCGCTCCTCGCTCGACCAGCTGGCCGCCCTCTACTCGGTCGCCAACCCCCTCACCGCCCACATTGCTGCCGTCGACTACTCTGCGAATGCGAGCGCCGGCCTCGTTACCGACTATGTTTCCTCCCTTGCACTCGCCGAAGACCTGGGCCTTGGTCTCGTCTGCAGCCCGTCTGTCTTTGAGTCGCAGCACATGTCTCTTTTTGCGACGTTGCTCTCGAGCGTCATGCCTACGATCCACACCTACGACGGCATCAGCGTTGGACGGGAGACGGCAAGGCTGGTCGACACCCTTGACCAGAGCAGGCTATACAACAGCTATGAGGCAGTGCTGAAGGCGGTATCTGAAGTAGACAAGAAGCACTCGGACGCTGCCGGGCGCACGCTGCGTCTCCTCCAGGCTTTCAACGACGAGCTTGGTGAGGACTACAAGCTCTTTGACTACTACGGCCATGAGGAGCCAGAGAGTGTTCTCGTCGTCTTCGGCACTGTGGAGGCTTCTCTGACTGCTCAAGTTGCGACTGCACTTTCCCGGGACGGTGAGAAGGTCGGTGTCGTCAACGTCCGCGTCTACCGCCCCTTTGTGGAGGAGGCTTTCCTGGAAGCACTTCCCAAGAGCACCCGCCGCGTTGCTGTCCTTGGCCAGGTCAAGGATGAAGCCGCCGTGCTCGACCCTGCTGAGTACTCACGGCTCTATGCTGACGTACTGGCCGCTGTTCAGTTCACCCTCGATAGGAGCATAGAGGTGACAGACGTCAAGTACTCTCGCGAGCAAGTCTGGACACCCAGCAACTTCCTCGATGCTTTCCGTCAAATCCACGCCGAGAAGGAGGGTACAGACGTTCGCTCTCACATCGACATCTTGAACAATGCCGATGTGAAGCAGTACAGCTTCTGGAACTTGGATGGATCCCCAGCTCTCAACGCACCTGCTGCCATCGGCAAGCTCTTCTCCACCGACTCCTCCAAGAATGTCTTTGTGCGCAACGGACATGACAACTTGGTCCAAGGCGGTGTCACGCGGACTGATATCCGTAATGCTGACTACACCATCGAGGCTCCTTATGCTGTTGAGCAGGCTGACGTTGCTTACATCGGCGACGAGGCTATTCTCAAGGAGTACGATATCCTGAACAGCGTCAAGCCCGACGGCTCTATTATCATTAAGCTTCCAGGCGTGAAGAATGAGGACATTGAGAAGAAGCTGTCGCCCGCATTCCGCAAGGCTCTTGTCAGCAAGGACATTGAGCTCTTCGTTTTCGACCCTACTCTGTCTGAAGCTGTCGCTGAAGCCGAGTCTCTGGAGCCTTACCTCACACAGCTCGCCTTCCTCAAGATTGCTCGTGAGGACCTTCTAGCCTCCAGCCTATCCAAGCTTGGCGCTATCAACGGCAGCCCAGAGCTCTTTGAGAAGCTTGCTGCGCAACTTGAGAATGCTGTCCGTGAGGTAGAGGTCCCTGCTGCCTGGGGCACTGTGGACGCTGAGCCCATCCGTCTTCCCTCGGACATCAATGTCACCAGCTTTGCTCCGTTCGAACGAGAAGAGGACGAGCCTCCCACGCTGCTCAAGGACTGGCAAGTTGCTGCCAAGGGCTTCGTTTTCAAGGAGGCTTACGGCACCTCCAACCAAGTCCGTCCTGACCTTGGCGTCAAGACAAGCATTGTTCATGTCAAGGAGCGTCGTCGCCTTACACCTGAGAACTATGACCGTAACATCTTCCACATTGAGTTCGATCTCGGAAACTCTGGCGTCACCTATGCCATCGGTGAGGCTCTTGGTATCCATGCTGAGAACGACGAGAAGCAAGTCGATGAATTCATCAAGTGGTATGGCCTCAACCCCAACGAGGTTGTAGAGGTGCCATCTCGCGAGGACCCCAACGTCCTGGTCAACCGTACCGTCTACCAATCTCTCATTCAAAATGTCGACATTTTCGGTCGCCCACCCAAGCGCTTCTACGAATCGCTTGCAGAGTTTGCTACTGAGGAGGCTGAGAAGCGCGAGCTGCTCCAGATCATCAGCCCAGAGGGTGCTACCGAGTTCAAGCGCCGGGCCGAGGTCGACACCATCACCTATGCGGACATCCTGCTCGAGTTCCCATCTGCTCACCCAAGCTTCCACGACATTGTCCGCATTGTCAATCCCATGAAGCGCCGCGAGTACTCTATCGCTTCTGCCCAGAATGTGACCCCCAACTCTGTCTCTCTGCTCATCGTAACGGTGAACTGGGTCGACCCCAAGGGCCGCGACCGCTTCGGTCAAGCCACCCGCTACCTCAACAGCCTCAAGATTGGCTCTCCCGTCACCGTCTCTGTGAAGCCTTCCGTTATGAAGCTTCCTCCCAAGACCACTGCGCCCATCATCATGGCTGGTCTGGGTACCGGTCTCGCTCCTTTCCGCGCTTTTGTCCAGGAGCGCGCCTACCAAAAGCAGCAAGGCCACGAAATCGGCGAGGTCCTGCTTTATATGGGGTCGCGTCACCAACGCGAAGAGTACCTCTACGGCGAGGAATGGGAAGCCTACCAAGACGCCGGTATCATCACTCTGATTGGCCGTGCCTTTTCCCGTGACCAGCCCCAGAAGATTTACATCCAGGATCGTATGCGCGAGTCTCTTACGGATATTCGACGCAGCTATCTCGAAAAGGAGGGTAGCTTCTATCTGTGTGGTCCGACATGGCCTGTCCCCGATGTCACAGAGGTGCTGCAGGAAGCTGTCGAGGTGGACCACAGGGTCAAGAACCCATCTGCCAAGAAGATTGACAGCCGCAAGGAGATTGAGAAGCTCAAGGATGAGGGCAGATATGTGCTTGAAGTTTACTAGACGGGGAATGTTTTGTCTTGATTAAGCTACGCATATAGACGGGCTGTTTTGAGGGTTCATGATATTACGAAGGTTCAAAAAGGGGTATTTTGATAAAATTTCCGGACAAAATAGATTGACGTTGAGTTTGTTCTATGAGTTCACAGGGTTCCTTGTTCGTACAGATGCAGATTCACGTGTGACCTTGAGCTCTAATCCAATATCGCAAGTCATACTCATAATATCTATCTGAAGAAACCACTATCAAATTTGCCATAATCACCCAGAGTCAACCCCTCAATCAAATCCATGACTTTTGTCACAAAGCCATTCTCAGTTCCTAAAATTGCCATTTCACCCCACATATATCCAAAGATGACTCGCTCATGCAGACGATCGTCCAGCATCCTTCTTCATGGCCATGCGCGCCTTCTTGGCAGCACGCAGACGCGCAACTTTAAGCTCTGCTTCTGCAGCCGCGAGTTCAGCATCCAAATCATCATCGTCTTCATCTTCGACATCAGCATCATCATCATCTCGCATGTCGTCGCCGTCTCCACGCCCGACAATCCCGCTGCTCTCAAATCCCTCTTCCATGGACTCTTCTCGCGCTTCACCTCCACTTTGATCTTGCGCCCCGTCTTCCCCGTTACCACCACGTTCCTCTCCCACTCTACCATGCAGCATCCCCCTCGCAGACCGGCCCTGTGGCGCAGGCGGCGCCGGAAACATGCCGTACCGCGAGTGCGTCTGCGCTCCATACGCATTCTCGCGGAGCCGCGCTGCAGAGCCTGCTGCGTACTGCTCACTGTGGTAACCCGGGTAGCCTGTATAGCCCAGTGTGGGGCGTCCCCAGTGGTCCATGGTGGCGCCGTACGGATATGCATGGTCGTTGGGCTGGAAGGGGCGGTGGGGAGGTAGGATGCCGGTTTGGTGGAGTGGTGTTGATGCTGATGGATGTTTGAGATTCTTTTTTCGGGGCTCGAGAGGAGTAGAAGGGGAGAATCTGGATCTAGCATTTGTGCTGGAGTGGTGTCCAAGGCCGTCGTTGTCGTCGTCGCCGTTGTCTTCTTTCTCACGATCCCCATTCTCCTCATCCTCATCCTCATCTTCATCCTCATCGTTCTCAGAGCTCGAGCTCACAAGCAGAATATGCTCGATATCCTCCTCCTCCTCCTCCCCATCCTCATCCCCATCTCCCCGCAGCTCCTCCTTCCGCCCCACAAGCAAATGCTTATACCGAATCGCAAACGCATATTCCACACTCCACCCCTTCACCAGCATATCGTCAATGACATCGAAATCCGTCGTGACGAGCTGCGGCTTGCGGTTGCCCGTGTGCTTGATGCGGTACCGCACCACATCGCCAATAGCCTTGCGCAGCCACTTTTTGTCATCTGTATGCCGGGCTATCATCAGCATGCCTTTGAGGGTTGCCGGAAGCCAGTTTTTGGGCTCGGTTTCGTAGCGCCGGGGGACGAGCCGCTTGCCGCTTGTGCTGTGCTTGGCGAGCGGCCGGTGGCATTTGGGGATGTAGGCTTTTATGAAGTTTTTGCCCCAGTAGCTTTCAATGTCTTGGATTAGTGCTTCTTTGGCTTTTGGGTCGTTTTTCGTGGTAGGCTTGGTGAGCGAGCGGCTGGTGCTGGGGCGGCCTCGCTTGTTGGTCTTCTTTGGTGTGGGCTTTGCGGTTGAGCTGGTTGCTGGGGAGTTGTTGTTGTCGTTGGTGTCTTCTGTGGGTTTGCGGTGCCGACGAGTGGGTACAGGGGGACTCTCGTTCTCGGGAAAGTCTCGCTGCATGTTGTGATCTGGTTTTCGTTGGCGCATAGGTGTGGCTTCTTTACTATGGATGTTGTCGATCATCATGCGTTCATGAGCGAAGTTATGCGCGTTCATGTTTGTCTAGAAGCTGGTAGTTAGCAAACATATCTCGCTCATTTGGGTTGTATTTTCATATCTCAACGCACTGCTGTGACTGGGAGGCTGCCTGTTGGCTTAAAAACTTACATCTGTCTGAAAGCGCTGCTGGTCGGAGCGTGGAGTTGTCACAGCAGAAGGGTAGAGAACTGGTTGAGAGCGGATTGGTGAGTCTGGAGAAGAGTCGTCACCCGCAGAGTAGTCGGGGCTTGACATTCGCTCGAGATACTCTGGAGAGCCCAGATGAAGCGGGCTGGTGACCATGCTTTCAGTGTACTGTCTTGGGGGCTGTCGATGTAAGGAGTTGGGGGATTACCGATGTATGAAGTTGTAAACAAGACTTGGATCGCCCAGAATTTAAGTAGACGTCAGCGTCGTGGAGCAGAGTGGAATTCCAGCCAGTAGCTAGGTAAAAGACCGACCTCGTAGCTATTAGCGGTGTATCCGCCTCACGGGTAAGTGCAGATCCAGAGTAATATAACCCACCAGCACTACCTACGCCTACCCCGAGTCAAGGACACAAACAGCTTGTAAACGGTAAAACGACAGTGAAATATCTGTGGAATCTGGTAGTGAGAGTACAACCGCTACTGCTGGCTGGGTGCAGAAGTTTCCAAGAACCGAGAGCTCCAAAGCTGCATGGCGTTTACTACATCATCAAAGCTTTTGGTGCACGATGATTTTTTTTGTATATGTCCAGTTGTAATAGAAGAGAGTACTGCGCAGAGGTAAGACTAGAAGGAATTGTTTGCTTCTTTAGAACGATTCTGGTACTGCCTCCGCACTGTGCGACATACAGATGTCACAGTAGCAGGGTTTGGCGGGAACAGCGAATATGAAGTAGTGAGGGTGATCGCAGTTTTGCTGGTGGCTCTACAGAAATCCGAGAATGCGTGACAAGTGATTGGTATTATCTAACTTACATCGGCTTGTGATTACAGATTCCAACAAAAGGAAGATGAAGGGAAAGAGTCAACAGTATCTTATTGGAAGATGAACTTTCATGACGCATCAGCCTGTTAGATGATACATACTGGACTGATCTGCACCCCCGAAAATAAACCCTGTGATCAATTAGTAATATCGAATGCTGTGAAAAAGCATCATTCCCGTGATACCAAACCACAAATACAGATGTATTTTTTCACCTACAACGAGCAACGTACCAACAGCCAGGACTCAACCCGGAAAACCACCCATTGGTACGGCTCATTATCCTCGAAACCTAACCCTCCAAATGTGAAAAGAATCGAAGAGGCCGTATCAAGGAATTCATAGCTTATTGTACCAATGCAGAATACTTCACCCGACCATATCCTCAAAAGCCCGCGAGATATCCGCAAAATCGCGCGGATTCGCCGCAGCCCACTCGCGCACCTTTGCAATGCCCTGCAGATCGCTTCGCATGTGGTCAGTCGAGGTACTTCCGTTCAGCACCGCAACACCGCGATCCATAACGAGCGCATACAGCGCAACGGGAATCTCGACATGCACTGCCTGGGCGAGCGCCACAACAGGGTCGCATCTCAGGAGCGCGGGATTCCCAGTTAGCGTCCAGAACGACTGGTACTCGATACCGTGTTGGGTGCAGAAGTTGCGGAGGGGCACGTCGAAGCGCGTCTGGGGGTAGAAGCGGTTCTGCACAACACTGGGCTTGACGGTGGCGGACTGATAGAGGGCTTCGAGGACTGGCAGGGTGACGTTTGAGATGCCGAGGCTGCGGATGCGATGGGGGACATAGGTCTCTAGTAGCGTCCAGGCTTGCAGTGTCTGCTCTATTGTGGGTAGAGGCGAGTGCAGAAGCAAGCAGTCGAGAAAGGTCTGGTCTGGCGAGTCGGTTTCATGCCGCAGGTTCTGGAGCGAGGATGCAACTGAAGTGTGGATCTGGGTGTCCAAGGGCACGTTGGGGTCATAGGGCATGTTGTTTAGGTCCTGGCCTGCAGGCGTAGTGTATTTTGTTTGCAACTATGTATATCATGTGAGTATGGAGTGGCTGCACAGCTGGGCATACATACATACGTATAACTCATCTCGCGTCAAGAGACCTTGAGTATACGCCTCACGCAGCGCCTCGCCTACCAACGCCTCCTGGTAATGGCGTGGCTGTGCAGCCGTATCGACGCTTCGGAATCCCACAGCCAGCGCTTCCTTGACCAGTCTTTTAGTGTGCTCCTTTTTCCACGCTGTCCCGTATATAAACGCGGGTTTGTCGTCGTGTAGACGGGAGATGCTTTGGCGGGTTGAAGAAGCCATGGTACGGGAGGGAGCACGTGGCTTGAGGCGAGACGTCAAAGACACAGTGACGATGATACGAGGGGCGTTTACGGGATTCAGGTGTCTGGCAAGCATCTTCTACTTACCGCCACATCATCACGTCAACGCAATGCTCGTGGGCGGAAACATCACCACGTTGGGGGCCAGCCAGACAGCCACCATGCAAGGTACGTGGGCGTGACTAAGCGGGGGGAACACACACACACCAACTTTTAAGCAGAAATCTTTCATCAAAACTCGTCAATTTTCTAT